CTCAGTCACAAAGGGACAAATGCTATATGGTGCCACTGTTGTAGAATGAGGCTGGCATTGGGGTGGGGGTAAGACTGAGAAAAACTGCATGAAATATGTTTACGGCATTGAAGTCTATGGGGGAGAGAATAGTCTAAAAGTATTATATTTTAGGGCATTATTTTTATCGTAGGAGTATGCCCATCTTTATTGACTAGCCCTGCTTCTGGTTTAACGGTGTGCCGTATTGCTCATTAGAAACTTCTTTCTCTGAGCTGCACACACTGGAGGCTGAATCGCAGGCCTGTCCTCCAGAGCTCATGCCTCCTGCTGGACAGCAGTCTTGGCTAGCACCTTTCTGGCACAGCGTGGATGGACATTGGGAGTGTACCTGGGGCAGGTTGTCCGTTCTCCCAGGTCCCGGCTCTCCCAAGAGGTTTGCCAGCAGAGATTCTGTGTCTCTCTGCTGCTCTTTGACAGTAAGCAGTGCCCAGGGGACTAAAGCTGGTTTCCAAATGCCTGTCTTTAGACCACATTCTTGGAAGGCAGTTATATTTGAGGAAAGTATATTAACATTAATAATAATTTGTATCTGTACAATCATTGGTCATTTTTTTGTACAAACTTATTGTAACCTGAAGATTTTAAAAGGTCAGATTAGTAACTCTTCATTACAGATGTCTTCGATCTCTGTTACGTCCTTTCGTCCTTTCACGTGGACTCTCTTGGCAGATTCTCTTGGTTTTTGCTAGTGACCGGCTGTGATAGTCACCAAGGGGCTTGTTGTTGTCGTTCTTGTTGTTAGGAAATCAAATCAACCTGCACTTGCAAGTTGGTAAATAATTTGCTGGTGTAATGTTACCTGAAGATGAAATATTTTATTGGATCAAATGTAGGCTTTTTAAAAAAAGTTGTGAATTCTTTGACAGGTGAGAGATGCTGCAGTCCTGGCCCTAGTGGAGATTTACAGACATGTGGGAGAGAAAGTGAGGGCGGACCTCTGTAAGAGAGGCATTCCCCCTGCCAGGTAAGTCAGGCGGAATTTATTTTTTGCTATTGTTTAATATATTTTTTTTTTATTTAAGTGCTTCTCAAATAAATTCAAATTTCTGAGATATTTTAAAATCAGATATTAAAGAATTAATTGCCATTTAAAAAAAATAACATTCTTGGGAGCTCTGGTGGCCTAGTGGCAAGAAGCTGCACTGCAGTCCCAGAGGTACATGGTTCAAATCCACCAGATGCTGTGCTGGAGAAGGAGGGACAATCTCTTCCTGTACCAGTCAGATCTGATTTGATGGTAGACACATACAAAATAATGTTTTTAAAAAACCCCCAACATTCTTCAGATTCTATCACTTTTTAATAATAAATTACTTACTGTTTAAAATACAATTAAGTAGCATAGCTAAATAACTATCGTTTGATATCAGGTGGTTAACAGTCATTGTTTAAAGGACACTTGAGTAAGGGTTTAGAGGGAAAGATATTAACCTATTCCTTAAGCGTATATTTTTTAACACCTCCTATTGAAATATATTTTACGATATACTGGTGACAAACCTTGCTGAAGAGCTTCATTGTACCAGGACATTTCCCCCCCCCCAAAGTATCTTTGGTTCTTGTAGCTTTTATTTTTAAGTTCTTTAAGGCCAGGAAAGCCTGCCTACTTAGTGGTTAAGGAATTGAGCTGCCAACCTAAAGACAAGAGGTTCAAATCCACCAGAAACTCTGAGGGAGAAAGCCAGGCTGTCTCCTCCTGAGTGACTTACAGCTTCTGAAAACCCACTATTGAAGATCCCCTGTGAGCCAGTAATAGGTTGAAAGCAGTGAGTTGAGTTGCTTTTTCTTTTTTGCAATGAAATACTCATATAAAAGAATTTTTCTCTTTTAACTTTTTGTTACGGAAAATTTATAAGCATACAGAAAAGTTGGCAGACTAGTATAATGAACCTCCAGATATCCATTACCCAGCTTCAGCTTGTGGCCAATTTGATATTGGATATATCCTCACCTTATTTACTTTTCTCTTATATAAGCAAATCTGTGTCCTCATAATACTTAGTTGGAAAACTAGAGTATTTCTAAAAGAAAATGAAATAAAACCACATTTAAAAGTTTTAATGTAGTTCTGTAATTCCAAATATTCAGTTAAGCTTCAGATTTCCACTCTGATAACTGCTCAGGGTTGCATGTATTTTTTAACTGTCTGTTTGAATGGTTATCTAAATAAATGCCATACATAATATTGGTAAGATCTGTCTTATGTAAGTTTTTAAAAAATCTTTGTGTTGCCCCACCATATTCCATCCTTTTCTCCCAGTTTTGCATTTGGTGTGTTGACTGCCGGATGGTCCATCCTGTACGGGTCCCGCATTCTAGATTTTGCAGATTTTCCCCTGACGTGAAGTGTGGTCTGCCATGGGCTGGTGTCTAGGAGTTAGAATCAACTTAATGGGAACAGCTGTGTGTGTGTGTGGGGATTTCTTTGTTTGTTTACTGTGTCCTTTCTAATTGTATCCTGTAAATAGATACAGAGACTTAATCAGATGCTGTTTATGGCTTGACGGATAAGGTCTCTTCATGGATGATGATGGTGTATTAAATTATCAGTGATCTCACAATGCCAGTGATTGTTTCTCTTACCATTTTTTTTTCTGTTGTCAAGGTTGTCTTATAATGAGGCACTTTCCTTGCTCCTTTACTTACTTTCTATTTTTAGGACTAATAGAAATTTGAGTAAATTCTACATCATTTCATTTGAAGAAAGAAATGGTATTGAATATTTTGTGAATATGTTTGTGTATGTACGGTAGATGTGTTTAGTAGGGTTTTAGTTACTTTTTTATTGAAGATATTTAATTTTTGTTTAAATACGATCCTCATACAGAGAATTTGCACAAGTATGTGATTCTTTAACACAAAGCGATGCAGTCATGTATCTACCAAACTAATGAAAGCAAATTACAACAGCCTATCTTGTCCTTTTCAGTCTTTACCTCTTATTCCTTTTCTAAAAGTAACCAAAATTTTCACTTCTACCACCATAATTTTTTGTATTTTTTTGATTTGTGCAAGTGGAAAAATAATATACCTTCTTTTGGTACTAGTTTCTTTCAGTGAGCATTATCTTTTAAAGGAATTTAAGAAAAATTAAGCTGTACATGATTTTCACTGCCATATCCTTTACCATGTATGACTGGAACTTACTTTGTTGGTGGATATGTGAGTTGTTCCAGCTTCTACCTTTTATGAAGAATATTGCTCAAAACTTCTTGGACATATTTTTTGATGGTAGTGTTGTTAATTGGTGCCACTGAGTCGAGAGTGACTCACAGTGACTCTATGAACAGCAGACCTGAACCCTGTCCTCTGCTGTGCTATCCTCCTCATTTCTGAAGCCCAGTGCTGCAGTCTCTGTGTCAGCTGAAGGTCTTCCTCTCTTTCACTGACCCTTTAACTTCCCAGGTGTGATACTCCTTTCTAAGGAATAGCCTCTCCTAGCAACGTGCTCAAAATGTGTGAGATGAATGAAGTCTTGCCATCCTTGCACTCTCGCTGCACTTTTTAAAGCCATTATCTGTTTGGTCTTTTGGAAGCAGGAGTGGCATCCACTTCCTAAACAACGTGCCTCTGGAAACACTATGAACTTTGATAAATGTCGATAGTTGAAGAGGGAATTCAGGCTTTTTGTTCATAGTGTTGCTAGGAGTCGTGCTCGACTCAAAAGCAATCCGTAACAACACACAACACAGTTAGTTATTCTTTGGGAATATATTTAAAAGTGAAAGAGTTGGATCCTGGGTTATGTATATACTCACCTTTAGTTGTTACCAGTAAACAATTTTTAAGACTGGTTATGCTCACTTGTATTCTCACTAGCACTGTCTTTAAGTTCGTGTTGTTTCACCAATACCTGGCATTAGTCTCATGCTGCAGTAAAATGGATCACTTTTATATGATCCCTATCTCGGTGTTCTTCTAACTCCTGCCACGTAACTGGATGGGACGACTGAACTCTGGTGGGCTGTTGGAGAGAGTCGTGCAGCTTACCTAACGGTGCCATCCTTCTGGCTTCTGGCATCCGTCGGCCGCTCTGTGATTGGACAGTCTCCTTCTATAGTCCACCCTCTGGGGGACCTGGGGACACGTCAGCTGGGAGTCGGTTATGACTGATGAGCAGTGAGCTCTTTTCAGTTTTATTTGGTGTCATCCTTGGGCTCATGATCTTCATTCTCTCTCCTCTCTCTTGTGAAGTGAAGCAGGGTGGTCGAATGCCACAGCACCATTTTTGCACATGCTTATTAGATTTTCTCGGTAGAATTCTGGTCATGGGTAAAGAGTTGCACTGCCAGTCAAGGCAGGCAGTGCGAATGCACCAGCTTCTCCATGGGAGAAAGACCAGCAGTCTCCACACCCTGAGAGAATGTCAGTAGTGAGTTGGTTCCGACTTGACAGCAATGAGTTACTTATTCATTTTAGGCTGCTGCTGGATATGTTGTGATTTCATTAAAATGATAATCAGTATTTTTCTGATTACAAATAAATAGCGCCATATCATATCTTTACCAACCATTTGAATGTGTTCTTTTTTTTAAAAAGATTTTCTTTTCATTTTTTTCCCATTGTTACATATTTTCTTTTTTTATTTTATTTTATTTCATTATTTTTGTGTGTGTGCACCATCAAATCAGATCTGACTGGTACAGGAGGAGATTGTCCCTCCTTCCCCGGCAGAGCATCTGGTGGATTCGAACCGTGCGCCTCTGGGATTGTAGTTGCAGCTCCTTGCCACTAGGCCACCAGAGCTCCCTGAATGTGTTCTTTTTTTGAAATACCTTTTTATATCTTTTGTCTAGATTTAAAAACTGAGTTAGCAGTTTTTCTGTTTTTAATAAACTTTATATATTGAGGATGTAAGACCATTGTTAACTTATATATGTATTTCAAATATCATCTCCTTCTTGCTTGTTTTCTTTTTTATTGATAGTTTTTGATGTCATGAAACTCTTAATTTTTAAAAATTTTTTTTATTTTAATGAAAATTTATAGAGATTTTGGATTTCCATTCATTCATTGTTGCATTTTTTCCCTGCCCTCCAGTTCATTTTTCCCTTTGAAAAGTAAAAGAAGAATTCTTTCATTGTTATACAGAATGAAAGCTGCATAGTGGAATGGACTTGGGGGGGAGGGATTGTATAACAGTGAAACTCTTCATTTTAATGTAAAATGTATCATATTTTTATTTACCTATTTCTGGAATGAATTTCTGTAAATTGTGTGAGGTAGGGTTCAGATCTTCCCTCTCTTTGACTCTTCCTGGCTGATATGGATACTGCTTCACTGTGGACCATTTAATTTTTCCTTAGTAGGGCTCTTTGTTATAAATAATCCACTTCTAGGGGAGCTCTGGTGGCCTAGTGGCAAGAATCTGCACTGCAATCCCAGAGGCGCACGGTTTGAATCCACCAGATGCTCTGCCGGGGAAGGAGGAACAATCTCCTCCTGTACCAGTCAGATCTGATTTGACGGTACACTGACATAAATAAAAAAAAATCCACTTTTATTCCTTCAGCAGATGGTCTTACTACTGTATGTTGATGATGTTGAACCCCCTCATAGCTGAGCCACCGCGGGTTTTCAGAGACTGTGTGTTGCATGGGAGAGTATCTTTCTTCTGCAGAGCTGCTGGTGAATTTGAACCACCTGCCTTTGGGTTGGCAGCACAGCTCCTTAACCACTAGGCCACCAAAGTGCCTTTATTATTGTTTAGGTAGTCTATTAGAGATAAGGAAGCCTGGTATTGTATATATGTTGTGCCAACCAGAAGGCCAGCCAGTTTGCCAGAGAAAGGGGATAATGTGTTTTGGTAAAGATTTTATAAGGTCAGGTTGTTTTCTAGGCAGTATTCTTACTCTTCTCATTTTGTTATAGATTGTTGTTGATGTTACATACCGTCAAGTCAGCCCGACTTGTAGTGACCATTGCTACAACAGAATGAAACGCACTCTGGTTCTGCGCCTGCTTTTAATCTCTGCTGTGCTTAAGCCCATTGTTAACAGTCACCATGTCCATCTGTCACATTGAGGGAAGGTCTTCCTTTTTTTCAGTGATCTTCTCGTTTACCAAGCATGATGGGACTGGCCCCTCCTGCCAGCATGGCCAGTGTGACACAGTCTCATCATCCTTTCTTCAAAGGAGCACCCTGACTAGAATTCTTTCTTGACAGATGTTTTCTTTCTGCAGCTCACGATATATTCAGTATCCTTTGCCAAGATCATAACGCACAGGCATCAATTCTCCTATCTTTCTTACTCATTTTCATGTGCGTGGAGGTGATTGGATGTAGGGCTTGGGTATGTAGGGCCTCAGAGTGGCCTTCTTGTTCTCGCACATCCGAGAGGCCCCGAGCAGCAGCTGGTTCATTGCATTATATGCCGTTTTGATGTCCTGACTGCTGCTCTGTAGTCATTGATTGTGGATCCAAGTGAAAGGGGTTCCTCAACAATTTCAGTCTTTTTTTCTGTTATACAAATAGAATTTTCACAAATCTGTTTTGGAACTCTTTTCTTTGAATGGGTCCAGTAATAAGGCTGAATCCAAAATACTAGACACAATTCACAGCAAAGGGTTCTAAAACTGTGTGAGGCCATTCATTTTAGTTTGTTTATTTGGCTTACCTTTTTCCCTGGTGTCACAGCCCATAGGCAGTAGCATTGCTAACCTAGCAGCCAGCAACAGCAACACAGCTGAGTGTCAATGTCATGCTTCTTAACACTTGTTCTGCTTTTCTTTAAACAGTCACCAATCCCAGTGGCCCCTCCCCATCTCTTGTCTACATCTTGCTCCTGGAAACCTTCCTAGTATGCGCCCACCTCTTTGGAAGCTGTGCTGCTCTATAGAATCAGTGAACCCGTGTCTTTGTACTGATGTGCTTTCAAATGTATGGATACTTATATTTGTTGATATTTATGGGACTTCAGGGTGTGAGGGTAATGTTTAGAAGTATCACTATAATGAATGCCTAGGGACTATCTTAGTTAAAAAAAATTAGACCAAGAGATACCTGCCTCCTCAATTTGTGAGAAATGATAGTATGTGGACCAAAGTTTAGGAAATGAAATTACGAAAACTTAGGCTAAGTCAGAGAAAATGATTTGATATTTATCAAAACATTTTCCTCCCTTGTCATGAAGAAATCAGAAGAGAATATATTGCAGAGTAAGAGAAAAACAGTATTACCCTTATGCTCCTATTTTATCTTAAAGAACATGTACCTATTGATATAAAAGAAAGGACACAATTCAATTCTCAAATGGTATACTTTTTCTCATTTCTTTTACACTGCTATCGATTACCTTTTATAATAAAAATATATTTTAGGGTTTTTTTATTTTCAGCTTTTAAAAAATGTGATAACAAAAATGTACAAAGAGTGATTGTCCTGCATATAAAATTAAAAATGCTAAGGGGTGGATGGATGGATGGATGGATGGATGGATGGATGATGGATGGATGGATGGAAATAGTGACATTGATTGGAGTAGCATCAGATTATCAGTTGTGTTAGCATCATTTAATTTCTGGTGTTCTATATTTTAGTTCTATATTTTTATTTGTGTTAAATTTCTTTAGCATGGTTTTTGTGGGTTTTTTTTTTTGAGATGATTTGGTAGTAAAGCTGTTATAACTTTATTATAAGTTTGGAACTAGAATGTTTGTGGTGGGTTTGGAGGAATCATTTTCTTATACAAGACACGGACCTGTTTTGGGGGAGTTTTCTTTACAGACATACCTGTGGGTGTGTGGAGGGCGACAAATACCTCCTCTTCAGGACACGAGGTGGGTTTTGTCTTTAGTAAGTGAATTATTTGTAAAGGAAGAGTTTTATGGCAAATCAGATGAAGATTCTCAAATGATTCTTTTCTAAAGGAAATAGTGAAGGAAATTGCTTCTCTTTAATTTGTATGTAAACAACAAACAAACAAAATTTATTCTTTATTCCTAGATTAGAAATGATATTTGCCAAATTTGATGAAGTTCAAAGTTCAGGCGGTATGATTTTGAGTATCTGCAAAGGTAAGAGTAATTAAAGTTATTCCGGTTCTCAAACATTTCTAGATGCTGAAATGTGTCTTCAAGTCCATTGTTACATCCTCACTTCGCAGGGTTGATTTTAATTGGCTGGTGCATTTAATTGGGCTAAAACAATAGTTTGATGCAGCTTGGTGATCATTATCACCTGATGCTGGTGGCAGTGAGTGTTTCTTTCCAGCTTCCTTGTGTGAGGTGATGCTCTCTTTAAATTTTTGGTCTTGTGGTTTATAGGTGTATGATCACCTTCTTGTCCATCACATTCCATCCATCATGTATTATTTTTTTATCCCCAGCGTAAATAACATATTATTTTTATTATGTTATTTACTCTGGGGATAAAAAAATTTGCAATCACTTGTTATGTGTCAGAGAGTTGAACATTGACAGGGGATGACAGAAGGAGAATTGATGCCTTTGAACTGTGGTGCTGGAGAAGAGTATTAAATATACCGTGACTGCTAAGAAAACAAACAGGTTTGTCCTAGAAAGGGTGAGACCAGGCTGCTCCTTGGAGGCAAGGATTCTGAGGCTTCATCTGACATACTTGGGACATGCTGTAAGGGGGGACAGGTCCTTGGAGAGGAATGTCATGCTTGGGAGGGTGGAGGTCCACGCAGGAGGGGAAGGCCCTCTATGAGGTGGATTGATTCAGTGACTGGGGTAATCGGCATGGGTGTCTCGGAGACAGTGCGATTGGCACAGGACAGGGCAGGTTTTAGGGCTGTTTGTACATAGGGTCGCTAAGCGACTCCACGGCACATAACAACACCAAGAGTAAACAACACCCCAGTAAATTGTTTGCTTGGTTGTTTGTAGTGGAAATGGTGAGGTTGGAGACTGTCCTGTGCAGACCACCCGATGATCCTGGTGAGGAGGCCCCGCCTGTCATAGACGCTTGACCTTCAGCATGGTGATCTCTGACGTCTTGATGTAAATGACAGCAAATTGGAAGTTGAAAAGGGTTGGCATTTGTTTCTGATCCTTTGATTTTTGTCATTGCTTTTCCTCTTCATAGAGTTGTTAAATTTGGTTTATTTTTATTAGGTGTGATTTACACAGACTAAATATTAATTAGTAATATATGTGAAGAATATATGTGATGTGATTTTCACAGAGAAAATAGCTTCATTTCAAAGAGAGTGTGCCTAGGTTTGAAGTGTTCATGATGCTGGCGAAAATGTTCACGGTTTGAACTATGTAGTCAAATAAAAAACTCGTTACTGATAAGATTTAATCCTCCTCCTCTCAGTTAAAGCAAGGATGTTCTACCAGCGCAGACGGAGTGAGGATTTGTGTAATGGAGGGCGTGTTTGCCCAAATCTAAACTTAGGTCTGGAAGCACAAATTGACTCAAGTGCTACAAGTCCTCACCCTGACTGCCAGCTGTTTCTCACTTCTCTTCTCCGAATAGAGGTGTTTTAAGTACCTCATCCTTATTTTTTCCAAGCAGTTACTTCTGTCCATTTCCATAGAAACCAGAAACAGCAGGAAGATACAAAACCGCTATAATGCTTTGAATTGAGATTGTTTGCACAACATTTACAGTGCACTGCCGTGAAAACCCTAAAGAAAAAGAAATCTATTCCTTGTCATAAATGAAGATACTATTTGGATATAGTTTCTTTTTCAAGCACTGCTCTTTTATTTCTGCTAGTTTTCTTTTTTCCTTCAAAATAGAATCGTTTGTTGGCTGTTCTTTTTTATTTTATTATTTTTGTGTGCATGTACTGTCAAATCAGATCTGACTGGTACAGGAGGAGATTGTCCCTTCTTCCCCGGCATAGCATATGGTGGATTCGAACCGTTCATCTCTGGGATTGTAGTTGCAGCTCCTTGCCACTAGGCCACCAGAGCTCCCCTTTGTTGGCTGTTCTTTCAGCCCGCCTTTCTCTGGCTCTCTTTCCATGTATCTAGTCTCCTCATGACCCAGAGGTAAGAAGCTGAGTTGCAATCCCAGAGTCATGCACTTTGAATCCACCAGTAGCTTCAAGGGAGAAGGAAGGGCAGTCTCCTCCCGTGAGATTTACTGCCTCTGAAAACCTGCTGGAGGGTCAGCCCTGGCTCCGTTCTGACTCTGCTGTCCTCAGCCACCACATTCTCTTGTAGAGCCTTGCACCTATAATCTGCATGCATCTCCAGGTCTAGAACCTCAGGGAATGATGAGTTGTGGCTAAAACTGCACATTTGAGAGTCAGCAGCACATAGTTGTCATTCGGGCAGATTAGATCACTTGATAGGATGAGGGCTAGTGAAGATGAATCCTCAATCATCATCTCAGGCATCACATGTCCTTATGTGAAACTTTGTTTTCTCTTGCTTCCAAATCTGTTTCCCGCTCCAGTCTTCCACATCCCAGTCAATGGCACGTCCTATTCACTCAAACTAGAAATCTGAAGATCCTAACCAATTAGTCTTTTCTACCGCTAAAGTACTACTAATGGCAAGAAGCTGCGCTGCAATCCCAGAGGCAGGGGGTTTGAGGCCACCAGCCACTCCACGGGAGAAGGATGGGCAGTCTCCTCCCGTGTGATTAACTGCCTCAGAAAAACCACGGGAGGGTCAGCTGTGGGTCACTTCCAACAACAGGTTGTTCCAACAGCAGATCCCAAATTTACTTCTTTTTTTTCTCCATCTGCTGTTAGTATTTTACTGTAAGTTGCCACAATGAAGTATCATAGTGCATTTGTTTTGAGTATGTAGCTGTGTAAAAGTCGTCGTATTAAATCAAGAAGATAACAACAAAGAAGAATTTTTGAGGCAGGTAGTGTAACCTTTTGTTTTTAAAGGTGAAAGCAAAGATAGTTTATTAGAAAAGATAATATCAGAGTCCAGAGTGAAGGTTGCATAGTGGAGCGTACTGGGGTGGGAGGAGGTGGGGGCATTGTATATCAATGAAGGAATTTTTCTTTTACTTTTCAAAGAGAAGAACGAACTGGGGGGAGGGGTGGGACAGGGAGAAAAATGCAACAATGAATGAATGGAAATCCAAAATCTCTGTAAATGTTCATTAAAATTAATAAAAAAAATTTATAAAAAAAACAAAGATAATATCTCAAATAGAGATGGATCAATCTCTGGAAGTAAAGAAATGGAGAAAGACCAGCAGGTAGTATACCATTTAGGTGCTTTTTTAAACTCAGAGTTGTTATCTGAACAGTCGTCCAACCTAAAAAAAACCATTTGTGCTCCAGGTGATGGTGGGTCATGGCAACTCCAAACGTCAGAGTTGTTGGTGTTATGCGATATGGAGTCAGTTACGACTCCCAGCGATCGTAGGAGTGAAACTCTGTGCCCTGCCCTATCCTGAGCCAACGTCCCCTTCTCTGATACACCTGACCCCATTCCACAATCACTGTGTCAGGCCATCTCACCCAGAGTTCTCTCCTGTGCTGACCCTCTACCTTTCCAAGTATGATATCCTTCAAGGAATGATCCCTTCTTTCCAAGTATGGTGTCCTTCAAGCACTGCTCCCTTCTTTCCAAGCATGATGTCCTTCTTCAAGGGCTGGTCCCTTCTCACATCATGCCCAAAATTCTTGCCGCCAAGGAGCAGTCTGGTTTCACCCTCTCCGGAACAGACACGTGTATTCTCTTGGCAGTCCATACTATCCCCAGTACTCTTCTCCAGCGCTGCAACTTGAAGGCATCGTCAGTCATCCTTAGTCATTGTCCAGCTCTCCGCTGCATAAGCAGTTGAGAAGACAGTGGCCTGAATCTGGCACACCTTAGTCTCTAGACTGACGTTTTTGCTCTTTAGCACTCTGGAGAGATCCTTGACAGCAGAGTTTCCTAACTACTGGTAATTTCCTAACTACTGGTGATTTCCTGACTGCTGGTGCCAAGAGTGTTGACTGTGGATCTGTGCAAGCTGAAATTGTTAACAGCCTAATCACTATGCAGAACCATAAAGTCTTAGGCTTTTCAGTAACTAAATTTTTAGGACTAGATCACCAGGCCTTTCCCCCCAAGATTCCTCTTGGGTCGACTTGAATGTCAAGCCTTTCAGTAGCAGCAGTAACTCTCTACCAACTGGGCCCTCACCAGTCATTAAGTGAAGTAGTTATTCAGATGATAAGTACTTCAGGGGTGCCAGTTTAGGTAGAGGAGGGGAGCAGCTCCCTGAGAGGTAAAGAAAGAAAAGGAAAAATCCTTGGGCAGAGGGAAAAGTGGCCATGAAGTCCAGACACAGTGAAGTGAAAAAGGGCCCAGTGTGTTTGCAGAACAAAAGGAAGGCTGGGCTCTGGCAGGAGCCTCCTAAGGGTGGGGACATGGGAAGCGTGGATGAGATGCAGGGGTGAGGAGAAATCGTGATGTGTGGGAGATGGACTAGGGTGGTCTTTGGCCACCAGAGAGTGGACGGCTGTGTGTGGGAGTGATGTGGCCAGAACGCTCATCTTAGTTATATTGCCAGTTCAGATAAATGGACAGGTTTCCTCCTTTTTAAAAAAATTTTACCAGGTTTCCACTGTGTATATGTTTCTGTTTTGTCCCTGCATTTTTTCGTGTTCCTGTTCTCTTAAACTCTGATTGAATTCCTCACCTTGATTTTTTTTAGAGCGCTCCTTCAGCACACAGGAGCAATAAGTAAATTTCCTCATCAGAAATTTGAACATAGCATTTAGCTTCAGAATGGTGACAAGTGCGATGCTTTTCTGTCCTGAGGGGTTTTCAAGCCTGACTTAATTCTCACATTACAAAGTAAGTTCTGCAGACTCTGTCAAAGCAGTGGAATTAGCTCTACTGTTAGAAGGAAGCTAGGTTTAAATGTAATCGGATAGTGGCTGGAAGGTGTTGGAACCACCCCGGTAGGAAGGAAGGCTCCAGGTTGCAAGCGCTCAGCGGTCAGGGAATAGTCTGTTGTCACTGACTTGTTTTCTGCACGGTCTCCTTGCTGACTGGGATGTAAAGACCAGCACTACTGGTGGCCTTAACTCAAGGCCTTTCCCTCCTCTCTCCCTGTGACAGAAGGGTGGAATTCAGAT